TAGTTGCTCCGCGTACAACTGCGTCGATCCAAATTTAGTTCGGGTTGTCGTGTCGGAAAACTGATAACGTTTATTAACTCCCGGTCTGCTAAACTAGCGAAATTTGCTGAAACCTTACTTTTTTGAGCTTGATTTTGGTGTATTACACTATATTTTTTTTTTGCAGAAACCAAGTGATTTTATTTGAATTAGTTTTCGTTGGAAATTTTTTTACTTTATTCAAAGCTGAAGTAATAACTTGAATTAATCTTTCAGACACAGTTTTTAGATACTTTTCTAAAACAAAAAATCCAGGCAAGCGGATTTTGAGGAAAAAAGTGAACTGTCTGAAATAAACTTTTATTTTTTCATTTTATAAAATTAGGAAACTAAACCATGAAGTTACTATTAGAAGTTTTCATATAAAAAGCAGCCAGGGTCCATAAAAATAATTTTGTCAATACTACTTTTGCTTGCTGAAGTGTGTTTTTAGCCAGCTGCTTAATTGACTTCTTCGCAAAAATTGACTTAAAGGGGAATTTTTTGATGATGATTTGTAATGCTCAGAAAGTATAGGGTAAATTTTCAAAAAAAATGCTCGTGGTAGTTAAGCGTGCATGGTGTTAGAGATCTATAGGTCAACAATCGCATTCTAAAAAATCTTCGAAAGTGTCAGGAAAAACAAGTCTGAACACTTTTAATTTTTCAGACAGGAAATTTCAGATTGAAATTCTGATATCATTTTCTCGCTATTTTTCAATTCAGTCTCTTCTGCTTACTCACAAATAAACAAAAAAAAATCAAAAAAGCATGAAAAACGTTGATAAATTTTTACCTAATTTTAGTTGGATTAATGAAAATTGGAGTAATCATAGTATTCTGCACCTTTTATGCAGCAGAATAGTAACGTAAAAATCCAAACAACTATAAAATCAAAGAATTTGATTTTCTGAGAATCCTAGCTTTTTGAGTGAAAAATAAGACCTAGCTATTTATTTTAATTTTTCAGACAGGAAATTTCAGATTGAAATTCTGATATCATTTTCTCGCTATTTTTCAATTCAGTCTCTTCTGCTTACTCACAAATAAACAAAAAAAAATCAAAAAAGCATGAAAAACGTTGATAAATTTTTACCTAATTTTAGTTGGATTAATGAAAATTGGAATAATCATAGTATTCTGCACCTTTTATGCAGCAGAATAGTAACGTAAAAATCCAAACAACTATAAAATCAAAGAATTTGATTTTCTGAGAATCCTAGCTTTTTGAGTGAAAAATAAGACCTAGCTATTTATTAAGAAGGGATTCACGTAAGATGAAATTTCCATTGAACTAAAAAAACTCAGCTTTGGGAGTGTAGTTTCCGAAAAAAAGCCAATAACTTTCACAAAAAGGGGTCAAAAATTCAAAATTTCGACTTTTCCGAAGACCTTAATTTTTTGTCAAAAAAATGGGTTAGTCGGGTATGCATAGGAGCTTCCCAAAACCCGTTCTTTGGATTGAACCCAAAATCTCAGTAGATTGAAGGTAGTTTTAGAGAACGTCCGAAAAGTTTAAGAAACGGCCAAAAATCTAAAGCTTGACTTTTCCGAGGGTGATGAGTTTGTGTAAAAAAAAGATGAGAGGCCGCTAATGCAGTGGAGTTTCTCACTACCCGTTATCTCCATTGAACCCACAATCAATCTCAGATTTGGGTGGTTAGTTTTCGAGAAAATTCAAAAAGATTTTTAAAAAAACGGTCGAAAATCAAAGACTATTCCGAGTGCCATAATTTAGTGTGTAAAACAATATGAGCTTAGCCGCTTCAAATCCATTCAATTCATTGAAACCAAAACCTCAGATTTGGGAGAGTAGTTTTCGAGGGAACGAAAAAATCTATATGGGTCAAATATTCTCTCCACACTTTTTTCGAAGGCTGTAAATAAAGGGGCAAAATCAGAAACTAATCGGTAGAATAATTAATAGAAAAACTAAAATTTTAGCAATCAGTGAAAACTTTCAGAGCCTCTTAAAAATAAAATAAAACCAATCCAAGAAAATCTCACGTCCCCAGAAACTACAACGAACAACAGTTGCAACAACACTGATACTTGCTTCCAGCAGAAAAAATCCGTAATGTGGCAACTAAGCCGACAAAACTTGAGCAGATAAACGAAAGACTGCAATCTGAAAAAAAAATTAAAAATTGCATACATACGGAAAAAAAAGGTCTGGCCGGCATTCGAACCCTGGACCTTGGGGTTCAGAGGCGACGGCGCAATCTCTGGGCTAAATGCGAAGAAATCAGGGAGTTGTTTAGTTTTAATAATCAAGCGAGTTGACATTTTGTTAAATAAAAAGTTGTTTGATGATGATTTGTAATGCTCAGAAAGTATAGGGTAAATTTTCAAAAAAAAAATGCTCGTGGTAGTTAAGCGTGCATGGTGTTAGAGATCTATAGGTCAACATTCGCATTCTAAAAAATCTTCGAAAGTGTCAGGAAAAACAAGTCTGAACACTTTTAATTTTTCAGACAGGAAATTTCAGATTGAAATTCTGATATCATTTTCTCGCTATTTTTCAATTCAGTCTCTTCTGCTTACTCACAAATAAACAAAAAAAAATCAAAAAAGCATGAAAAACGTTGATAAATTTTTACCTAATTTTAGTTGGATTAATGAAAATTGGAGTAATCATAGTATTCTGCACCTTTTATGCAGCAGAATAGTAACGTAAAAATCCAAACAACTATAAAATCAAAGAATTTGATTTTCTGAGAATCCTAGCTTTTTGAGTGAAAAATAAGACCTAGCTATTTATTAAGAAGGGATTCACGTAAGATGAAATTTCCATTGAACTAAAAAAACTCAGCTTTGGGAGTGTAGTTTCCGAAAAAAAGCCAATAACTTTCACAAAAAGGGGTCAAAAATTCAAAATTTCGACTTTTCCGAAGACCTTAATTTTTTGTCAAAAAAATGGGTTAGTCGGGTATGCATAGGAGCTTCCCAAAACCCGTTCTTTGGATTGAACCCAAAATCTCAGTAGATTGAAGGTAGTTTTAGAGAACGTCCGAAAAGTTTAAGAAACGGCCAAAAATCTAAAGCTTGACTTTTCCGAGGGTGATGAGTTTGTGTAAAAAAAAGATGAGAGGCCGCTAATGCAGTGGAGTTTCTCACTACCCGTTATCTCCATTGAACCCACAATCAATCTCAGATTTGGGTGGTTAGTTTTCGAGAAAATTCAAAAAGATTTTAAAAAAAACGGTCGAAAATCAAAGACTATTCCGAGTGCCATAATTTAGTGTGTAAAACAATATGAGCTTAGCCGCTTCAAATCCATTCAATTCATTGAAACCAAAACCTCAGATTTGGGAGAGTAGTTTTCGAGGGAACGAAAAAATCTATATGGGTCAAATATTCTCTCCACACTTTTTTCGAAGGCTGTAAATAAAGGGGCAAAATCAGAAACTAATCGGTAGAATAATTAATAGAAAAACTAAAATTTTAGCAATCAGTGAAAACTTTCAGAGCCTCTTAAAAATAAAATAAAACCAATCCAAGAAAATCTCACGTCCCCAGAAACTACAACGAACAACAGTTGCAACAACACTGATACTTGCTTCCAGCAGAAAAAATCCGTAATGTGGCAACTAAGCCGACAAAACTTGAGCAGATAAACGAAAGACTGCAATCTGAAAAAAAATTTAAAAATTGCATACATACGGAAAAAAAAGGTCTGGCCGGCATTCGAACCCTGGACCTTGGGGTTCAGAGGCGACGGCGCAATCTCTGGGCTAAATGCGAAGAAATCAGGGAGTTGTTTAGTTTTAATAATCAAGCGAGTTGACATTTTGTTAAATAAAAAGTTGTTTACGGGGAAAGAAGTCTAGTTCGCGATAACAAGACACTTGCTTTTGCAAGTGTAAAAAACTGAATAACAACCAAATATGTGCGCAAAAACAGAAAGTAAAAATGCTGATTTTCTAAATACAAACTGCTAAATTTAGGCCTGAAAAGCTGAAAAATTAACCCGTATTTTCGAAACAAGAACTTTTTGGAATTTCTTCCGGAATCTGTGCTATATCTGTACAATAGTCTTGTGCAGTTTATTACGTTTTTGCCTTCCCAATTCTGGTGCTCCTTTGTTCCTTTGCTGTTAGTGCATTCCCCCTCTCTTTTCAATCCTCAATGGTTCATCGCACATATGTTGTTTGTTTTGTATTCGGTGTTTGTTGTGTATTCGGTAATTATATGCTGATTTTCCCAAAAAAATTTTTATCTTACGACTCCGCTTAATAGCTAATCAAAAACCACCTTAGTTTCTTCCCTTCCGTGAAAATGGTCGAAACTAACATCATGCAAACTTAAGCTAGCATTGTTTGTATTTCTTGAGTTCATCAGAAAACACCCAATTAATACCTTTTTGAGACATTGATTTATGTACGTTCAGATGAAAAAAGGTTCAAACCGAGGAACAGTTTGTACCATTTTTTATCGTAATTCTCTTTCCGTCCTATTAGAAACTGTAAGCAATTTTTCGCTACAAAAATTGGTCGACGATTTTAGGCCCAATTAAATGTCGATACTTTCAGTCCGCAATTTACGAAAAGAATCTTACTATGTTAAAATGTTGAGCCTTTTTTGCCGCCTCAAGTATCCTATCCTTAAAAAAATTAATAAGAACTCGTTTGCAAATTCAAGATATATATAGCAGTTTTTCAGCTTCTTTGATTCAACACTGTGGCGTAAGTGAACATAAACAAATCACTTATTTTGAAACCATATCAAGGAATCTGCGTAGGCAACTTGGTTTTTGGAGTAGTTTAAAATTAGCTTCGCAGTATACATAAAGTTACGCTTATGCATTTTTTGTGCAAAAATGGTTCGTTTTTAGAAGTTTCCGTGAAAAATCATTCGAACGCACTGAGTTCGGGTGTAATAAAAAAAGGATTAGCCGGACATTACTGTAAATTTGCAAAAAGATTTTTAAGACCATCAACTCTGAAAAACTTTTCATCACTTGCGGCCAACAGAAAAAAAAACAAATGTGTAACAATTTAAATTCTACTTAGATCATACAGTCATTCGTCCCTTCGGTTAGTTTAGTTATTCAACGAATACGGGATCAAGCCAATCTCTTCGAAGCATCTTTTTCTTCTCTCCTTTTTTGTATAAATCAAATTCAAATTGTTCTGCGTATAGTGGAGAAAAGGCAATCTCGGGCTGGTTAGGACCTAATGATAACCAGTCCGCCTCTATCATCGCCTTGTTCTGGTAGTTCACTCTCATTTCGTACATATCATTTGTGTTATATTTTTCCCACCACTTAATGCCACTGAAATCCAGAAGTTCGAAGTCGTCCAAAACTTGCTCAGAGTTTCCCCTTTTGTTCCAGTCGTACTGAACTGTTACGGTATTGAAACGTTTGTTCAGTTCCGGCAGGTGAAACTTGTTGAATTTATCCACACTTTCTAAGTACTTTTTGTCAACTTTCTTCTCGTAGGCATTCCCAAACTCCTGTACCCGTTTGTATGTCTCTTCCGGCGATACGTCCAGATATATCAAAAGATGAGGCGGCAGTAAAGTATCAAGCAAGAACCTCTCACGCGCTCCCAGCCACGCGTGGAACCTCGGGGTGATGTAGTCCATTTCAAGTAGGGCATCTTTATCAGCCCAGTTGTTGAACACACTCTTTTCCATCACGACTCCCTGTCCTGTTCCCAGTAAGTGCAGTAAATTATTAATATACTGCCTGAAACTATTGAAGAATATCACAAATTGCAGCCTGGCAGAATGCCCACATGCTGACTTGGGATCTTCGTAGAACTTTTGCATGCTAGTGAACATATTCCATTTCCAATCTGCGTCAATTTCCCCATCAAAACCTACTTCTTGTGCCCAGGTTTCAGTCACTTTCGGGAAGTATCTCATGTTTAGACCTTTCGCAAGGTCTTTTGCTAGCTTTGTCTTTCCTGCAAACTTTGGCCCATCGATGACAATCACTTTCGAGTTCTGGTCAAACCTACTGAGAGTATCTTCGCCAAAAACTTGATGCCACACTCGCAAAGTTCCGCATCCAGGGCGCCATTTATGTAACCCGGTACTATATAAGGGCACTTTATTCGGGTACAGTACAGTCGTATTCTGTAACAGTTTGTGTAGGCCTGTTATTTTGTGAGGATAGTCGGCCTCTATGTATTGTTCAAGAAATTGTTTCCCAGCCGTTTCGTCAATAACGCTTTTTGCAGAGCTAGAAGAAACAACTGAGCAAGACCGAGATATATTGAGTGTCAATCGAGTGGTTTTCTGTAGGGAAGATTTTAAGATACTCATATCGGATCTATAAAAAGACATGAACAGTAAGTTCTCTTCTCTAAACTTGAACATCATTCAAAACAAACTCTTCTTCCCTTCAAAAATTAGTGTTGAAAACCAAAATTAATGTTGTTCAAGAATGAACAATGAAGCTTTTTGCATAACTTGTATGCATTATCAGACACTGAAAATTGAAGCATTATAAATTAAACAACAAAAGCAACAAAAAATGTCTGACATTTAAAAAAGAGATGCAACTTCCTCAACTAGAACAGAGATACGCGACCCGCAGGGGTCAGCCTAAGGGCCCAACTCCGCGGGGAACGCTCGCACGCGGATAGTCAGTTTTCTGCTAATACTCTTCTCGGCTGCGTTCAACTGTGGTTGCCTACCTTGAATAAGCAACGCCTCCCTTGTCAAAAGGGTGATCCGATCGGCTACTTGGGCAAGGATTTTTGTCTCGTATCGTGTGACTTCTTCGCAGTCCCTCAGACGCTCTCCTACCGGTACTGTTGTCTTCAGATGCTCCTTCAGTCGCGTGCAGAAGTGACGGACAATTGTACGACCTAGCGGGCGTTGCAGCACGAATAGCTAATTTCATGCTCCACTCGACTTCGTAGCTCTGTTTTGAGTGAGGGCATGAGAGCTTTCAATTTCCGAGCGGTGAAGATGACCCCCACATCCTGAATATTTCTGAACCTCTTGGCAAATTTATTAAATAGTTTCAGCTAATTGAGATAAAAGTCCGGCCTGGTCAAGGTGTCCTTTGCTAAAAGTTTTCAGTAGCCGGCTGTATGTTTATAATTGGTGCCAGCTCACTGGACAACGCTGTCAAAGCCCTACCCAAGAAGACTTGTAACATTCGTCTACTGCAGTCACACATGAGGCTTAAGAAAAATAGGCCCTATAACCACTGGCTCAAGGGTCAGGGACACCATCTCTTGTGTTTTTCTACCTCAAGAACGGTCGGAGCCAGTTCGGTTCGTTTGTGACATGAGACTACGACCCGTTACAGCTTAAAGGCTACTACTAAAATATCCCCCCACTCTAGAATTAGAAACGTCCCCATACTTAGGTCTCTAGATACCCAAAATACATGAACGCCGTTAAAAACCGGGTTGGAACAATCCGTTAAGTTACTTTTTATTAGACAGTGTAACTTTGATCCATTTCAGATGGATCAACCTAAAACTCGCCTTACCTCAACATAACAATTATAAAACACACTCTAGGAATTTAAATTAAGTACTCACATTGTAGCACGCTCAAGAACCAGGAAGTAAATAAGTCGGTAAGCAACTCAAGAATTAATAAAGTAACTAAAATGAGTTTAATGTTAGTCAGTTTTAATAATAAGAACAAGTTTTTTCTCAAGACTGTAAGTTCTCGTGAACCATTGGGACACTCTAGCTGTCCACCTTTCCACCGAAGGTTCACTCTGGTCCAGTTAATAATAGTACTCCAATCACAACAATCCAGTTCGTGGGAATGCTCTCGTCTCTGTTTTAGATGGGACAGCTCTACTCTTGTTCTATTGTGACAGAAATTGCGAATAGCAATTTCCCACCGTTTTATTTAGCAACTTTCCCGCGATTGTTACTCGATTGTTCTGACTTCTCTTTTTCTGATTTTCAGTTATCGCGAGAAAATCGTGCATGACAGGTTCCATTCGAAATTTTGAAAAACTAAATTTCACTCCAAAATCAAGTGTTTTTTTTCTTCTCTCAAGGTCAAACTTCCGAATATGACCGACTGGCACATACTCCCCGGACTCGAGATCGATGTCCTCATCGCGTGCTGTCTTCTGCAGTGAATCCCAGAAAACCGAGTGTTACTCAAGATACAGTGCCAGTGGTCATTTACAGAAGTTTGCAGCAGACTTAAGCTTATCTACACCCCAAAATTCACAGCCATGTAAAATTTTCACACTATCGCTAAACAGCAATCAAAATCTGCACACACCTGCACCCTTGAGTTCTTGCTTTCCAAGCCAATCATTTAAAATTTCTTTTGTCCTATTCAACCAGGAAATTGTCATGCAGCATTTTGATTTATATAATAAATATAGTATATTACTAACAATATTTGCTTTGTTAAAACTTCTTTTTCGTGAATCCAAGTTTCACCCGGATCCACGCTCAAGCCCCCCTTTCCCTCTCAAGACTCAAGATCCATTCGAGTCACCTGCTCATCTCGCACTCTTCGCCTTGGAGGTACTGCATCCTGAAGTACTAGATACGGCAAACTGTCTCAACAGTTCCTCTTCATCATCGGAGCTAATCACAATCTCCTCCCAAGCCTTCAGCTGCTCGTAGGATCGCATCCATTCTCTTTGCTCTTGCAACCTCTTTGCTTGGTTGGGTAGTGCCTTCACCCTAGATTCCCGGTTCAAACAAAAGGAGTTGTGCAGGCTCAAGCTCACGTTCTTCGCCAGGTCCTCCTCTAGTATCGATTCCCTCGCCCTGGTATTGTCTCTAGACATTTTACCCACTCTCTTCCATCCTGTCGTGATTGCATTACGATGGGTTAACAGGGGTCTCTTGAAAGCTTCCGGCCCAATCTCGGCCTGGAACTGTCGATACTCCTTTCGATGTTTTCTCATGTGATCTTTCGTTGTCATGTACAACCAGGACGTCAGCGTCGCCCGAAACCATGGGAAGTACCTCAAACGGCTCCAGACATGTCAGACTTCCTTTGGTATGGCGAATACCTTGCACGCAGTCTCAAACAACTCGAGTCTCCTACTGTAGTCTATCGCGTATATTGACTCTGCCGTTGGCGTCCCCGCTTCCCGATACTTCGTTATATTCTCTTCTATCCATCTCAGAGCCAAGATCGTACTCACTACCAAGATCGTCACCTTCTGTCGGTGATCCGGTAGTCCGATCGACCGGATTTCTTCCATATCCCACACCAGGCAAAGGTTCTTGTGATCTGGATACCACATCGTTTGCGCTAAACAGTGGCATGGGCATTCTCCATGGGTGATTTCAATGCTCCTGAGGTTACGCTCCCCCGAGGCTTCCAAGAGAGGCTCAAGCTCCATCATTTTCTCATGCATCGTGTCGTTATCTTCCAGGTTTGGAGCACTTCCCACAGGTTTTCCGATCACGTTTTGTCTCTCGTGATCGCTTGTGTTCTCTCTCTCCAACTTCAAAAGTTCTTCTCCCCAGATTTCACTCAAGTCATCTCTCAATTCCTTTGGTACTGTCCCCCTGATTTTTCTCAACAACTTGTGCGAGTGATGCGATATCCGAGCCAACCTCACGCACTTGGGCACTGAGAAGGCCTTGTCCACCAGTACTCTCTGGCTGGATGCTTCCACCATCACCATGTGCAGTGGGTAGTGACTTCCGCACAAGTTGGCCATCATTGACCCTATCAGCGATTTCGCGTTCAATGGCAAGCCATAAGCTTCGCTCATGGGAAATCCCATTTCCGCCTCGAGACCAACCTTCCAGCTCCGGATGTGTTTTTGAGTCACCTGCAACACCCCGGGCCATGATTCTACGCTCAACGCCGTCACTAAATGATGTTCAGATTCTAGTCTTTCCAGTGACTGCAGACTACACATTCTCGAGAAGAATCCGAGAGCTGTCGCTATATTCACCGTGGTTCTCGCGTAACACTCCGCTACTATTTGCACTTCACTTTTCTCCCTTTCTGTTATGTCTTCGAACCAAGTGACCAGGTCTTCTTTTTGAAATGACAGTATTCTAACGCATGACCGTCCATCGCAGGTGTGCTCTCCGTTTCCACACGTCGAATCCCGACAGCTACCCGGCTCCAATTTCTTTGCTGACCCGGGATTACTAGTCTTTTCGCCTGGCTCTTGCATCTGAGGTGAAATTAGCTTATGCAGCACACTCAACTTTGCCAGATCTTCATCTTCCGTTGGTGCTAACCTCACTCGCTCGGTGGTTTCCTCGATCAGACTTGCGTGGGGATGTGGACACCAGGAGGGTCTTAATAGTTTCCATACCACTCCCAAGTTCGTGGTTAACAAGCCATTTCCATCGCCCATGTTCATTTCAACTCTCTTGTCTGAACGTGGTATGCTCACCACCTCTGGTGTTTTCTCAAGAATCAGGCCCAGGCTCGGCCCCTCTTTTTCCACCGCGTCTATTTCCATTATTCTTTCTGTCCAAAACTTCAGTAGCTCCGCTACCTCATGGTTCCTGTGGGCGCCCCCAGCTTCCGAGTCTAAGAAGGGGTTGTAGGCCATTCCCATCACTCCAGACACATATTGGTATTCCCCCTTCTCGCTGATTCTCGAGTACTGCTCTGACGAGGCCACGTTACGGTGAACATCATGTTCTTCTTCGAACTTCTTATTATAAAACCTCCGTACCTCGTCTAGCTTCCTATGGTTCTCTAGGGATAGTCTGGAACCCTCTTCCTTTTCTATTCCTGTGCTCTGATACACGTTCAAGATGACCGTTGAGACTCTTTTTTCCATGGTTTTGCTTGCGCTTGCTCTCTGTTGGCATGCCAAGATGATGCTATCAGACATCATCGACATTATCCATCTCAAGAAACACGTGGCATCCTTTCTTCTGGCCAGGCTCAAGCCTGAGTTGTCCCTGGCTACGTGTTGCATCAGTGCCTGATACATCTCTAGCTTCTTGCTTCCCAACTTCAGCCTGTCATACGAGGTCAGTGTTTCCAACTCTATCCCCACCAGACTCCAGGTGAACATTAATTGTCCTGCAGTTCTAACGAAGGGTTTCGCCATTAATGGTGGTGCTTATGAGGGTGTCCTCATTGCTTCTTCAAAATGATCCTTCAACAAACTCTGCCAGGACCTCTTCAGATGATTTGCCATTTCTATTCTATTAACCTCGGCCTTTTGCTGGGTGGCCCAATTACGTCGCTTGCGAGCTACTCCACTGTCCAACTTCTTCCAGCAGTCCTCCATTTCTTTCAATGTTTCAAGAGCCACCCACCACGTCCGGGAGGTGTTCCTCGTCTTGTTCCTTTCCAATGGATCACTTGTCACTCGCTTGCCCGTGGCCTGGTGTGC